GATGTTCTATTAATATTTTTCTTGTTTTTTGTCTGTTATTGTTTTGACTGGTTTTATTCCCGTGAGAGTGTCTTAACATGATGTTTATATTGTTATATCCAGAAGAAATATTATACAAAAACAAAAATCGAGTGAACCTGGTGGAAAATGATCGGCCAGACAGTGATTGCATCCTATCAGATACAGTCATTGTTTGGGTATTCAGTCAGCTGTTTGAATACAATAGTTAACAGTGGTGATTCCTCCACCTATACTGCTTAGCGTGGATGGTGTAATCAATTGATAATGAAGCCATGTATGGCTACCATTAGAAAGCTAAAAATGTCCCCTCCATGTCTGTACTAGTGACAACTGTAAAATAATCCATTACAGTCTATCCCACAGACAATTGTCACCGAGACAAATAAAGAGGGTAGATCTTTCCAACGGGAACCCAGAAAACAATGAATAAAACCAGAAAGGGGTTTCCACATTTTCAAATCCTATTAAAAACGAAATTAAAAGGTTTGTCTTTAAATATACTTTAAACTCCCTCACAAAGATGAGCTGGTAATAGGTAATTTCCGGCTCTTCCCAGTTAAAGTAGCCTCAAGCAACCTTATCCTTCAAACAGTGTGAGACAAGTCATTTATGAATGATAGAGCACTTAGCTGGGTATACATTGTTAGAGTTTCATTTGAAAAAAAAATCATTTTCAGAACGTTCATTCTATTCCCTAATAGTTCATGATCGATGATCGATGATTGATTTTGACCATAGTGGAGGAGCAGGATGGAAAGTTTTTTTTCAAACTAATGAAATTCTAACAGTGAATGTGATTTTAGTTTGGGAAATTCCTTGCATTTCCAAAATTAGTTGTTAAAACCAAACATACTTTTAAATGACGTTCACCAAGTCTCTGATAGCAATATTGAATGTTCTGACGAGATTTATCATACAATCGTCAGTATGAAATTGTAACCAGGCATACATAGCTGTACAGTAAGCATGGTGCAGCTGCTTTGTGCCCAGGTCTGAGAATCTCACCATTCCTCCCTCACACTTTGGATTTTTTTTCCGTACAACTATTTCCCTAAGACGTTTATCTGCTACACAGCCACTGTGGTACAAGTTAGCAGCTTCTGGATCTGTACTCCTCAGCTGAACCTTGAGGACTGGACCCCACTAGTAAGAAGATGCCGGGCTAGCCTGTAAGTTGCTTCAGGCACTGGATTCTGCATGTGGTGGTCACCTTGGCACCTAGTACACGTAGTGCAGAATTTTGAGTTAGCCATAGGGTGCTATACATGTCCGGAACCGTGGCCTATCTACCGGTTAAAAATTATCAATAGGTGACGTTTTTAAATGCTCTTACAGCTAATCAGTTTAGCGTTACCCATAAATGAGGGAACTCAAATTATTTCTACTATTATTTCCTACTCCAATGTGTGACATTTGGCTCGGCTATTCTGCTCTGTACCTCCGTGGTACCGAGCAGAATAGAAAATAGTGAAAATAGCAGAAAAAAAAGGTTAAAAAAATTATTAAAATGTTAATAAATAGTGAAATTAAAATATAAATAAAGATATTTTTAAAAAAGAAAAAAAAACAATTGGGCGGAGCTAGCAGTAACAGCTAGCTCCGGCCAACTGTTTCTATTGGCGGCACCTGCTAGAGTCTTCTAGCAGGTCTCGGCCAATGAATAACAACTGGGCAGAGCCGGCTGTGAGATCACAAAAAAAGTGCAATGACACATGTAACGTCCGTTTTTTAAAAGGTTTGTTTTGCATATTTGAACTTAGATCAGAAATATTAGACTTGAAATTTTAGATGCTTGTAGAAATCAACAACCTCTAAAAACATTTCTTGAAAACTAATCCAAAGGCTACGTGTAAATCAGTCAGCTGATCTCCTTGATTGATTCATGAAGGACTGTGCCCAAACAGGGGTTCTAGAGATGAGGCTCCTCTCAGCAGGAAGGTCAGGATGTATTGTATCCTGTACCAGGACAAAGCCAGACATCATGTTATTGGCAAATTGGGCTCAGATCTCTAATTGCTCGGCTGCAATATTATTTATTTATATAGTGTCGACCATTTAGAGCCCATTCACACCAGGGCGGCTGCCGATCAGCGCGGTTTCTGTGCTGATTTCAAAAGGGAAGTTTTGAGAGTTTGGGAGCGCCCAAGACCGCGCTTATCAGTGCGGTTCCATTGAAAGCTGTATGGAAACCGTACTGATCAGCGTGGCAAAAAAGGATCAGATAGCAGTTTGGATCGTGCTGAGCTGCACAAACGGTCCCTATAGCAATGTATGAGATCATTCATGTCGGCAGATCCGCACGGCCAAACTACCCCGGTGTGAACAGGGCCTTACACAGTGAACATTCACATCAGTCCCTGCCTTCAAGGAGCTTACAATCTAAGGTCCCTAACTCACATATGAGGACTACTTTAGACAGGAGCCAATTAACCTACCAGCATGTCTATAGAGTGTGGGGGAAAACCAGAGTAGCCAGAGGAAACCCACACAAGCACAGGGAGAACATGCAAACACATTGTAGCGAGTGACCTGGCTGGAATTCGAACCAGGGACTCCCAGTATTGCAAGGCAGAAGTGCTAACCACTATGCCTCTGAGCTCCAGGTACAGTACTTCAGCCCTGTGCTCAGAGAAAAGAGTCAGAGTATTCAGAGCTTACACCAGTGATAGACACGGAGAGACGCATGGCTGAAGGGTCTCACTGGAAGTAGACTACAAGTAGATGAGAACTGCTTGGACATTTTTTCTGTTCTGTATGTATGTATTCTGTATGCTAGTAAACTGTCTTCTGGACACTGAGGCGCCCTTTGTTCCCTCGCCGTGGACCCTTTGCTGCCTGTGACCTGTGTAGACCGGAAGCTGTGGCCAGGCCTCCAGGACTCCTCCCGCTGCATGTCTTGACTCAGGAGCCTCCTCCTGGTGCCACTCTGCCCTCCTCTTTGTCCCTGCTGTGTGCTGCCTGCTACCTGGTGTATCTGACGCTGTGGCCAGATCACCCTGGACCTTCACCTTTTCCCAGGACCCAGCGATCTCCCTCCAGAAGGTCTCTGCAAGCCTCACTCTGCAGATTACCCTGCCTAGATCTCCCTTTGCCAAGCTAACCCAATCAGCTGCCGAGGACTGTTGGACCCCTATGCTGTTGCTTAATCTTTGTCTTCTGTCCCTGGCTGTGCCTGTGACTGCTATGCTATGAACTGCTGCCCTATGAACTGTTGCCTGTGAACTGTTGCCCTTTGAACTGCAGCCCTTTGAACCGTTGCCTGTAAACCATTGCCCAGTGTCCGTGCTGCTGAACCCTTGTCGTGCCTGGAGTGCTCTGTGGTCCTGGACTTAATTGTTGCTAACCCATATTGTGTGTTGAGTCTCCCTGTCTGTACCAAACCTGCAGCTTGCTCCTACTTCTGTTAACTGAAATTCCCTAATAAACATCCCACATTTCGGGTCCTGTGTGATTCGCTCCTAGTTCGTCACACCTAGTAACTAGCTTTGCATTGGCTGAAAATAAAAATAAAATAACACACCCAAGCCTAAACACTTACAAAATGCCGGTATAATTGCTAAAAAAAAACCTAGAAAACCCCAAAGACACTCATCTGAGGGCTAGCTCACACCTGCTGGAACACACTGAATCACATTCCGGCTGCCCCACTTTCTTTTGGAGCGGGAGGGGGCGTGGCGGTCCATTAAACTCAATGGCACCGCAGCCACGCCCTCCGGCCGCAATGTGAACGGCCGTATAGGAATGCGTGGCACATCAGTGCCTGCGTTCCGGTCCAGTGCAGTCAGAAAAAATAGTGTGCCACACATTCCCGTGCAGCCAATCGCATTGCAGCCGGAGGGCTTGGCTGTGGTGCCATTGAGTTCAAAGCACCGCCACGCCCCCTCCCTCCCTCCCCAAAACAAAGTGAGCTGGCATGCATGCGATTCAGTGCGTTCTGGCCAGAATAGTCAATTTATTAGATTTATCATTTCATCTAAGGCTAGGTTCACACCTAGGTGATTTGTTGCACGGATTTAGCCACGCAATATCGCACAAATCAGAGATTTGCATCCAAGTCTATGGCAGCTGTTCACACCTTTGTGATTTGTTGCACGGTAGAAATTGTCTGTCGCAGAAAAAGGTGCCGGATCTATTTTCGGGAGGTTGTCGCCTGGTTTGGGTCCCATAGACATCTCTATGCATTGAAAACCGCACGGTTCTCACAGAAAAATCGCGCAAACAAAAACGTGCGACAACTACGCAAAAACAGCTCACCAGCTCAATCGTCTAAGTGTGAACCAATCCTGACAGCACCAAATACCAGGTCAGTAATTTACATCATGTTTGTATGCTCTAAAATTAAAATAGATATATAATGGCAGAGTATTAAGTAACTCCCAAACATTCTTTATTTTACACAACATATACATACAACAACAGCTTTTTCACCACGCCTCATTTGGAGTGCTTCAATGTAACCCATTAACAGCTCAATCATCGCCAAGTCCTGCTAAAATCACAGGAATCAGAACATTATCATCTAATGTCTATGGGTACATTCATATACCGGACCATTTGCTGCATTCTTCCACATAAGGTATGCACAAACAGTATTTGTACAATAATAGTGAATACTCAAAGATATGGAGACATTTGATTTACGGCAGGCGTTCTGTTAACATTACTTGATAAAACCAGAATATTGTGTCTTTTTTTATTTTCTATAGATATGTGCAGTTCTCAGCCCACTGCATTTTGTTATTGCTGCTAAACAGATGAAACACAAAATCATCTCAGTAAAATAGTTTTTTTTTGGCAAGCAGGACCAGGGGGCAACCTAAAAAATAACCACTGCATATTTGAAAAACACACTGGGCCCTTGGTATCAATTCAAGGGAATACATATAGTTTAATGTTTGAGACATGTTGGCTAGAATATACCACGGTGTAAATAGCGTGATTACATCTTTAATAGGCAAATTTCATGTTAAGTAACACGGTATCAATGTTGAAACTTTATTAGTACCATTAATAATGTTGCTTAATTTTTTAAACAGATATACAGTATTTGTGCCACTTGTACCTGAGCTTTAGCAGTTGTGTAGCATCCATTAAAGCTGGTACAGTCCTTATTGCCATATTTGGTAATAACACTTATTTTATTCCAGTCAGACATTACACTTCGGATTCCCTGCTAATTCTCTTCCATGTTTCAGTAGGGTAGTGTGTTCTTGATCTTTCGCTTGGAAATGTCCCTAAAGGAAAAGGTGTAGGCTTCCTTCTACTTCTCGTCTTGCCGTGGCAAACAGTCCTCCCTACAGATGCTACGCTATAAGCAGTGTGTTGGTCTCTGTGGCTTAGGGTGGTTGGCTTGGCACATGTAGAAATTGGACCAGCAAAGCACGCTTCCCGCTGGGATGGTTTACAGTAAACTGGACTCACACATGTTTTTCCTCTTTGCTCAAAAGGAGGACTACTGCTGCACAAAATGCATGCTTGATTGGTATGAGGGAGGGAACAGTATGATGGGCACCCACAGTGTTGGTGTAGTCTCCAGTCCTTCCTGTGAAATGAATCACACAGCAAGATATGTCTTCTAGATGCTTGGTTGGGAATAGGGGAGTGGCACCAAGAACTACAGTGAGAAGCTGCTGTTGTGGAAGTGGCGGGTGTTCTTTCCAATAGTTCAAATCTTTTACATGCCGAAAGTTGGGACGTATCACAGTTTCCACTTGCAGTGCCAGCTTCAGTTCTCCGAACACTTTCATTCTGTGTAGTTAACGACATTTGTGGGATGGTGTCTTGACTAAGGCAAGTGTTTATAGTTGTGGCCTTGGGATCTGTTTCTTCTCTTGGTGAGCATGGAACTTGGGTTGATCGCAGAATAGGAGAAACAACTGATAAATTGTTAGATGGGGGTACAGTTACTGTAGGTTTTGAAGTGACAGCATAATGAGGGGATGAATTGGCCTGTGCTTGTTGCTGTGAAGCCTGCACGGAGAAAACAGCTTGCAAGCTCTCACTTCTCTGTCTCCATGTACGTAAAGCGTGTGATGCTGTCTCCAGGGATCCACCAACAGCGGAGGAGGACACAAGATCCTTGGCTGTCTGCAGAACCCTTAAAACATTGACGGGTACCGGAGTTCCTGTCACATCAGGCTCAGGACAAGTGGGACCATGGGATGGACTCTGAACACCTCGAAAACAACTATATATACCCTAAGAAACATAAGAACAAGTAATGAGAATTATGTTGGATAAACTGTACGTATTGTTTATGCTACCTAAATTCAATATCCAGAAGTGATATATTGGCACTGAACATGATTACTTAAAGACTCAGAAGTTACATTTTTTAAATGTATTCAAGTGCCCTATTAACAAAAGTGTATCGTATTTTGTATCACTCAGCTGTAGATCCTCAGATCGTCTCTGAATTCATGCTGATACTGTCCTTCCTTCTGGAGGGTGGCTACTTTTGTTCCCCATGGTCCCTGTATGTTGTAAAGTAGTCTCCACTCCAAACTCTCTCCCCTGATGAACTACAATGTCATGTTTAGTTTGCTAATTTGTATTGAGATTGTAGTCCATCACAGGAGCAAGCTTGGAGCGGTGGTTACTTTACAACATACACAGGTACCATGGGGAACAAAAATAGCCACCCCCCAGAAGCAAGGACAGTGTCGGCACCAATTCAGAGATGATTTGAGGATCTACAGTCAAATTATTTACAAATAAATTAAATTTGTGTTAATAGTTAAGCTACTTGAATAATTTTTTAAGGTTTAACTTCTGAGTTTAGAGTCACTTTAAGCACAATTGCAGGACCTTTTTTAACGCAACACTCTGACATTGAAAGGTAAAACTAGTAATGCATGCAAACCTGCAAATCTTTGCTACATTTGCTTTATCCATATTTTATGTTATCCATTTACCTTCTTGCATAGTCTGTTAGTCTGTTCCATTACCTCTCCTCTGTGTAGGTTCCTTAGATGGTAGCAGCCCCTTAATCTTTATAAAGGGGCTGCTACCATCTAAAGTAGTGATGTAATCTTCCCCTCACAGGAAGATCTTTGCAGGAAGAAATGTAATTATTTGCTAGAAACTGGGCATGTAATATGAAGGTTCTATCCCCAACCCTATCTTCCCTCTCTACAGCCATTTTAATAATCACGTATTATAATAAATGCAGCTGTCAATCAAATGAGATAGCAGAAAATAGAACAGACCTGTTCTGTATAGTGCTCTCTTTTTTTTTTTTTACAAAATGCAAGTGAGATGTGGAAAGCCTATGACCACTAAGCTTTGCAACCAGCGGAGATCAAATCAGAGGTCAAAGAGAATCCCAGGCCCTGCCATAATGCATGCACAGCAATAGAACCATATTGAGAGAGTCATAAGAAACACCGTTTTGTAGCAATGCTCGCACTATTTTTAACTTGCAGTTTCAGAGTGTTTGCATTAAACAAAACAAAAAAAACCTTTAGTTTTGCTTTAAATTACCCAACAGCTTGTTATATCTTTTAAAATTTCCAGCAATTTTTCACAGTATATTTTGTCTCTGCCTCCCTTCCCCAAAAGGTTGTGATAAGGCTGTCACTTCCTTGTACTTTATTCCCCAATAAATTGCTTATGCTGCATTATAGAATATTTGTCAGTCAAGCTTGATATCATTTTTTGGCTTTGTATTGACCATTGGCGTACAACAGCTAGACAGGCTTTGCCAATGGAATTCCATAGAAAACTAAAAAGCCAAACCGCGATTCAACAGCAGCAATAGTAAAATGATTAAATCTCAGCTTTGAATGATATGGGCCTCTACGTATCCAAGCGATGATATTTTCTAAAAAGCTTGCATAAGTATGCAGCCACAATGTGTTTCTACTGGGTGGTATCACCGATAGATTTCTCCAAATGTAAAACTTTATTTCTTTATGTCAAAGACTTCTGGTCAGTCAGTTCAATGTCAATATGTTTAAATCATACCTGGAAGGATTCAGGACGGCTCCTGTTAATAGTCACATGTGCTAAGAATATTTATGTACGTGCAATGCCCATGGAAATATTTAGGTGCCTGAAGAGCTGCACACTTAAGCATATGCATATAATCTGCTGCAACCAAATTAAAGTGCAACTGAAGCAAAATTTGTCTTTCTAGTTTTGGAGAGAGTAGAGAGGGATTAGAACACCTGTTAGGTCTTTATTGCTGTCTGTGTCCCTGTTGGGGAGATTCATCCCCCTATTGGTCCTGGTGACCATTATCACTGAAAGTAAAAAGAAAAACACACATTTTGCATTATCATCAGAACTCTTCTAGTTGGGACACTAGTTCTGGTGACCCTGCTGAGCACCAGGGATTTCCCTCACGTTGGAGGAATTTCCTATCACTTCCTGTTGTGGCTATCGGACAGGAAGTGAAGCTAAATCTCCCCAATGGGACACAGATGGCAAGAAAAATCTGGCAGGTGTTGTACCCTCCTTTACCCTACCAAAAATTAAAACAAGTTTTGTCGTTAGTTCTACTTTAACACACACAAGTTACCTTCTATTCAAAATGTGTTTCTGCAGATGATCTAAAGCTTTGTTTAGGTTTTAATAGACATGTGCATAGAATAAAAATTTGTTTTCGATGAAGCAAATGAAAACTAAAAACATTTTAATGAAACAAATTTTTATGCTGCAACAAATTTTTTACTGCACATTGAAACTGCAGAAAGCGCGACGGCCATATCAGCCGCTGGTGAGTTCTGCGCATGCACGCAGCCATCTTGGAGATGGAGAGCATGGCGTCACATGACGCTGTTTGGCGCTGCCATCTTGGTATACACTAAGATGGCAGCGCCCACACATGCGTATGGCGTCATCTGATGCCACGCACATGCAGGGTCATGTAATGACATGTGCCACACCTCCAAGATGTTGGCATGCATACGGTGAACAGAGATGTATGGGGAGGAGTAATTCATATAGCTGTGCTTGTACATTTCAACTTGAGCTACTGAGCTTTGTAGAAAACAGGCTTTCTTTAGCCACATGGTTTTTTAACTTAAAGCCTAGGCCTAAAATTTTTTAAACCTGAACATAATCCACAAAAGAATGAAAATATACACAACAGTGCACCTTAAAATATCCCGTTGGTTGAGCAGTAACTTTGTGGTGCTGACCTCCCTCGTCCATTTCCTCCCTTTTTTGTCTCCCTCCACCCCCACTCTTGCATTTTTCCTCTTTTACATCCCTTCCCATCATCTGTGTTACTGCTCCGTAGGGTTTGATATGAGGCATGCCACACATTTCCTAGGACTAGATATAAGTTCTCTTGCACTTTTGATTTATGCATTCTAATTCGTGTCTGTTAGAAGTGTGATTGGGAAACCATACAATTAATGATATTTCGTGTTCTGTACTGGTTTTGATGGGTTATTTTGGCTGCTTCAGCTTGACCTTAATGTTGTTATATGTAATTCCTTCTCTTTCTGTTTTATATATATATAAAACTTAAATAAAGTATTAAAAAAAGATACCTCTTATAAAATCTGTTCAATTTATATCAGGCTTACCCGACTGATTCCGAGCAGGCTTTGTTCCACACATGGAATGGGTGCACAGTGTCTCATCCTCCAGTACACAATATGTTCCCATGAGAAGACCAACAGACTTAAACCCATAGCAACCAACAGCATGTAGAAGACACCAGCCATGTTATCAATGTCCAGTTTACTGCTTACAGCTTCATTCTTCTCATTCTGACATATGCCGGACAACCACACTGTCTCCAGTCTCTGAGTTTCACCTTATACAAAACAGCATTTGTTAGGAATAAATATTTCGCTGTCAGTTTAACAGTTAAAAAGACACGTCTACCCAATTCAGCCTACAACAAACCCTGGCAGGTTTAGTCTGGAGAAAGGCAATACAAAACCCCACCAGCAACCCCAGGGAAAAATCCTTCTTGACCCTACAAATGCAGTCAAATCGATTCTCCAGGTCAGATAGCTTAAATACTATCCTTAATATCCATAGATATGAAAAGCATCCAGTTTATTTTTAGATTGTGTTATTGATTTTGCGATTACTATGTGATGTATTAGGGCATTCCACGTCTAAACCACGGCTTACTCATTCTTACCACAAGTAGACAAAAGGATTTTTACATTAAAACACGTTTACAATTGGAAAACATTATATATTTTCTGAAAGCAGAGACCCTGTAGAATAAAATGGTGGTAACACTTAAATTAATCCTAATGTACACAAACACTATATAGTCCCCAATAGAAAAGATTTGGTTGTGTAAAGTAAATAGATACCAAATATGACAAGCCTCAACATTGTTTGTGTCTGTGAAACAGCGAAAAACTGTGGTGGTCAAAATACACTTACAGTACATGTAGAAGTGATCAGTTACTTCTAAAAGAAAGCTGACAGCCGGGACTAAAAAGGTTAAAAACTCCAGGCTGCCATAATACTTACAGTGGCAGCAGCAAAAGGGAAAAGCCCAAAATCTATTTTTCAATTTGGCAGCCCCACTGTATAAAATTAAAGTTTTCTTAAAGTGACATTAAAGTCAAAAATATGTTTCCCTCCCCCCAATTTTAATTAAAGCACTTACCTTAAATTATGTTTCTTAATCTGATCTTCTTCCTCTTTCCTGTCCTTTTCATCTGTCCCTCCAGCGCTGCTGCTGGTCTCCGATCCAGCGCTAGATCCTCTGTCCTTGCTGGCACTTCCTGTCCCACGGTGTCTGCATGCGGGTGCACGCCGTCCATATACCTACCTTGTGTCTCTCTTCATCTCCCGGCCGAAAATGTGAACTGCGCATGCGCCCGCCCCAAGATGCTTTGCCCAAGAATTTTCAAATTTTCGGACGGGAGCGAGCGGGGAAGGCACAGGTACGTTTAAACCGCTTTTAAAGCGGGTTTTTTTTTAACACTTTTTGCATATATCTACTGCTTGTTAGCAGTAGATATATGCAAAAACTCCAGAGGGTTTAATAACCCTTTAAGCAAATATTTTTGTGAATCTGTTTTACTTCCTGTTTAAGCCTGACAATGCTAAGCTACTGCCTTGTAAGTAGGAGCAGTGTTGTCAGCCTCCTGTGTGCACTCCTTTACTTGGGCTGCCTATCAGGTCTGCAGGAGGCATGCACAAACCTGATAATCATCCCAACAGCCAACTGAAGGGGCATGCTGACAATGGTCTAAGCTAATTGCGAAGCAGGGGCTTAGCGTTGTCAGACTGAATGTGCTGTTACTGGCAGAAACTTTGAAATAGAGTAAAAAAAAATAAAATACTGTGTGTGTATAATCTATCTATCTATCTATCTATCTATCTATCTATCTATCTATCTATCTAAATATATATAACACCAGGAAGAAAATATGTTTTTTCCAAGTCCATTTAGTTGCAAGTGTGATATCCCTAGTATTAACTTAGCTGTTCACCCTCCATCCTTACATTACACACGTTTATCATCCTAGAATGCGGTTTGGCATTGAGTATTAAACAGTATTCCCAAGTATTTTTCCAGCTGTGTTTTTTTAACTGTATTCCATTTAATGTATGAGGGCAATGCTACATCTATGCCTAGGTGCATAATCTCACATTACCACCAACATTACATTTTATCTGCTGCTTAACGGATCATGCTGCCATCATGTCATGTCAAAGTCCTTTAGTTATATGTCATTTTCATGCTAGGTTTTAATAAATATACAAAATCTTAGGCCATCAGCAAAAATAGCTGTGCTATTTTTATTCAATATACCAGGTCATTTACAAGAAGATTGAAAAGAATTGGAACCAATACTGATTCTTGAGAAACACCATTGCATTTTGAATACATTGTATTCACATTTGTATTCTGTTCTTTAACCAGTTCCTAACCCATGTATATGCAGTAGATTCTTCCCTTGTTCTTGCAGGCTCAAGGTCTGCAGAAGACGAATATGAGGAATTGTATGGAACCCTTTTACAAAATCACGCACATAGCATTTAAAACATCCTTAGATGAATGTATCTTCTCATAAAAACTGCTCACGTCCAGTAAACATGATTTATGTTTCATGAAGTCATATTGGTTTTCTGTAGTTAAAGGAGAATTATGGGGAGAGTGGAATATACTCTTCACCATAATTAGAGCCAACGTGTGAAAAAGCAGTTGTCACACGTCGGCTCTATAGATCGAGAACTGATCAATCACTCACATACCGCTGATCACTCAGTTCCCAATCCTCTCCCTGCAGAGATCGGTAATTTTCAGTCACCGCTCCCCACAGGGATTCTACACCCCCCTCCTCTCTGTTCCTTCAGGGCTGAATGGAGAGGCAGAGCCAGCTGTCAATCAGGTGGTGGGGTGGATCCCGACAATATTGTCGGGATCTCTCATGGCTGCAGCATGGGTCTGTGCTGTCAGCATATAGCGGGCAATAGAGTTTTTGGAGGGCATAGTAAATGTGACCCTAAAGAGAACTACGGCCCAAAAAGGTGAAATGATGGCTTGTATGATCACAAGCAAGCACTGGAGGGTTTATCAAAGTCAAACAGCATACATCAATGGACATCACAGAAGGCCTTTCTGTTCCGTATGATAGATTGGTGTACGCTGTCCCTTTGAAACATTTTATACTGGCTTACTAGTTAATAAATTGCTGGTTCTAGGTGTTTATGGTAGAAGACTTTTTTAAATGCATAATATTTTATTTCTTTAATGTCCATCCCATAGTCAATATAACAGAGAAAGCCAGGAAGGGACAGCTATATCTACCCTTCCACTGACCTCTCAGCTGCCCTTTAGCTACTAATAGCCAAAAGTGTATAAAGCAGACATGTGCTGTAGCTATTTTCCATTGCAGTGGTGAAATGTATAGTTCCAGTGGGGGGGGGGGTGTGACATCACTTTAGAAGAGGGGAGGAACTCAGAAGCATCTCCACTGTAGCAGCACTGCTGTCCACATGGTGGCCAAGAAAAGGGAGAATGTTAATGACAGGCTATGTGGATTAACAGCACCGGCTGCAGATCCTTAGGCAAACAGGTGAGTTAAATGCTTTCTTACAGTACAGGACATGCAATGTTGAGGCCACAATTATGCCAACAGTGCATGGCCATGCTGCTATAGGGTGCCTGAGGAACACAAGACCCACTGCCACTGTGCAAAATAGCATGAAGTGAGGGGAAGTGTAGAGCTAGCTCTCTCTTCCTCGGGATACATGACCATGCAGGCTACCAATGCACAGAAAGGCACAGCCCTGCACCCCACCTCTGCAACAACATGCACCTAGCTCTCTGCTACTACACTGACACGACATACCTTGCTTGCCACCACAACACTGACATGCCCCTCACAGCCAGTGCACTAACATGCCCCTCACAACCACTTCAATGACGTACACTACTGCACTCACCACCACTGAACCAACATGCATTTATACACTGGATGCCATTGCACCAACATGCTATTCTAAAGCTCGCTGCCATTGCATTGACACACAATTATTCACTCCCTCCCTGCATCAACGCACACCACCACATACTCTGTTACTGAACTGACATATATTTCACTCTTTGACACTTCAATAATTCACATTTCTGTATTCATCCAGTTTCTGTATTCATCCAGTTCAATGTGGACTAATGATAATGTGTGTGACAGTTGGAAGACAAGGACAGAGTGTTATCACCCTATGCAATGAAGTACCAGAACAAGGACCATTGTTGCATAATGATCATATTTTAATGAAAGATGCAGAATAAAAATATTGAAAAGTACTTCTGAAATTACCTAAACATGTTAAACTTGTGTGATCTATTTATGATACTTTAGCAGCAGTAACACAGGTTTCTAACAGCTTTATCAATATTCCTGCCTTGCTCTCTTTTGTGTTGTCTCATGTCCTTGACTCTCTGAAATAATTAGTTTGTATGTAGTTTTTGCCCCTGTACTGACACCTCATAAAGGAAGGTTAACCAGAGAACTTTTGCCATTGGAGACAAAAACACCTACCCCTTTCCCCCCTCATCACCTTCATAATAGGCCATGTTCTAACTAAGAGATAATTGTGCTAGCACATATGATAACTGATGCAGATGTCCAAATTAATAAGATATATATCATGTTTTGGAGCTCCAATAAAGGTCTATTCAATGGACTTTTGGCTTGTACCGATGGCATCAGTTTGAGACACCTTTGAGATCATTCAGAATTAATTAGCAGGTTCATCTGAACTGCAGTTGACGTCCTTCTGACCTGCAGTTGACCTGCTTTGAGCAGGTTTTGCATTTCTATAGACTTGTAAAGGAATGTAAAAGCCACTTAAAGCAAACAGAAGCCCCCCAACAAACATGCCCAAAGGCAGGTCAAGGTCGTTCAGTTGCTACTAAATATAAATGTCAGCTTGTTGATGGCAGTGTCTTTTTGTCCTTACCTCTGTACTTTTTAAAGTAAAGAAAAGCTCTGACTTAAGATATTTTTAATTTATCATTGTCAGCTTACAAAAGTCTATAAATGGGCAGACTTGTACAAGCCACGGTTTTCCTTTCTTTTAAAACTTGTAACTCTCTGTTCCTCCGGCTTACAGACAAATAACATCTCCTGAAGACACTTATCTTCTTTCTCAGTTGATTTTCTTCAACATTATCCTGCTTGAAGGAAATCTGACCTGCAACAAGCATGCAAATAAATCCATACCTCACTTATTGTATGTCTGTTCTGGTGATGCAAAGTATTGAGGTCAGAGATAGCCAGAAAACAGATAGCCCTCATACTTCTTTCATGACAGGTTCCACAGTAGACGTAATCCATCCTTCTACTGCCGCTGGTCTTTTGCTCAAATGCTGCCTAATATCGAGCGGCCCACTTCTTGCGCCCACACAGGGGGGGGGGGCACATCATCATGCAACCTGGGCTTACAGTAATCCTGAACTGAGTGGCAATCCCACATCATTACATGAATGACTGTTATTGCAGGAGGAGGGAATGCCACCACCAAGGAAGAAGAGGAAGGACTGGAGAGTTCACTGGACTGGCCTAAAGAATGTTGGAAAAAATATTCATAATGTTTTTCTTTTTCTTAAAAAAGATCTAAAGGGTTCTTCTGTGAAGGTGAAGGGGGGCAGTATCAGGGTGGCACAAAACCTGGACATATGCTTTAAACTTTTAACATAGATGTACAGTGAGTGGATTTTGTTCTACACTATAACATCAACCTGGACAATAACTTGGTGGAAACGTTCCAGTCTTTTCTTGATGGCCCATTCCTTTTAACCCTAAAGGTGGCCATACACTGTACAACCATCGCAAGACCTTAGTCTTGCGATGGTTGTAAAGGGATTAAAAAACGTACGATCTGCCCATAGTAAAAGGATTTCCTTCCTGCTCATCATAAACATCTTTTTTTTTATTTACAGTCCTGGAAATCAGCAAGCTACTGAACGTACATAGAGGGGTTTATGTTCAACCTTCTGTTTGTCTAGACTTAATTGACTGCTATTTGTCAAAGACTCCTACAAATGGCAGTACAGAAATAAAGTTAGGTGAGTGCTTTCTGCTCTATATAAATTGATTCCACTCTGTGTTTGTGATTGATGGCCAGAACTTTGGAATGTATGCATGATTTACAAGGAATTCAAATTGTACAGACAAAGCTGTGCAGCCATTTTATTTTGCTCTCTTATTTTATTTTATCCTGTCTGTTCTGCTCTGCATGGAAATGAAGAGGTTTTCTGCAGATGGAACGAATTTTATTGCAGTGACTACCGCATAATGGCACAGAAGGTTTTAGCAGTTAAAGTTGTTTTAGCTAAATTGATCAAACATGTCAGTTAAAGGGCATCGTTTAGCATAAATATTAAAGGGTCAAGGTGGTGATACAGACAATATAAGGGGCTATTTATACTTATCCGTTTTCCTACAGTAAACACATGAATTTTACCACATTTTCAAGCAGAAATCCCATTATTTCCTATGTGGCTGGTTTACATTTATGCACTGCAGTATAGTGTGATAAGGCAAACTATGAGGGCCCATCCCCCCCTATGCAAAGTGCATGCAATGGGCTCATTTATGGTTAATTGACACAGCTCAGGAGATAAAATGGTTCACTTGCCTAGAAAAACATTTATTTTGAAAGCATCTGGATGTCAGTGGGTGGTTTTTTGTTACCCATTATGAATGTTTCCAGTATAAATGTTTTATCACCAAACAACCCGGAAAAGTACCACCTCAGCCCTGGACATAGCACTTAACCACAGTCTCTAAGGGGGCCTGCTCTTCAGGGTTCCAAACACCAACTATATCTGCAGTCACACATCCACAAACAAAAGTCGCACGTCACAGTTTCATCTCCCATATAACGCTATTAAAATTACAAGTTGACCTCACCCCATTAAGCTCCTCCATCCTTCAAGGGTCAATTCTATGGTTAAGCCGGGATTTGAGTGAAACGTGTTCGAGGCAGGCGCTTGACAGTGGCAGATCTGCCTGTCAGCTCAATTAAATAATTGAACTGAGAGAATTGTGGATAAAGGTTTTATCATCTGATCAGCTGTAAAGTTTTTATTTTGCACTTAAAGTGAACCTGTGCTGCACCCATTCAGGACAAAGAAACATGTTCACTTAACTACTTCCCTCTCGAGCTATATATACATAGCTTTCTTTTGCTCCCCAAATGTTCTGACAAGAGGAGGGAAGAGAGGAAGTCCTATGCAAGCCACAAGTCACAATGCTCAATGTGATCATCATATATCTGACAGAGTGTTCAAAGTGGTCAGCATGTGCCTAGAAAAGTGACCATATTGCTCAGCATGTCCTTGGCACAGTGTCCCATGTGGTCTGTATGTCCCTGGCAAAGTGTCCCTAGTGCTCTGCATGTTCCTGGCAGAATGTACTACATTCCAAGCAAGTCCCTGGCAGAGAATCCTATGTGCTTAGCATGTTCCTGATAGAAAGTCCTATAATATGGCATGTTCCTTGGTAGTGTGCTCATTATGCTCAGCATATCCCTGCTACGGTCCACAATGTGCTTGCCATCTCCTTACCAAGATGTTCCATTTGCTCAGCAGCTCCCTGGCAGAATGCACCATGTCCTCAATCTGACCCTGGCATGATGCTTGGCATGTTCCTAGATGAATGGTAAATGTGGCTTACATGCAGGGCCAGATTTACTCTCTCTGCTGCCCCAAGGCCAGGTTCCTCTATGCGCTTATATGTCCCGGGTGTTGGGGCGATAGGAATCACTGCCGCCCCTCTGCTCCTCGGTTGGCCTTGTGGCAAAATCTGGACTTGCTTACAGCAAGAGTGTTTCTTTTGCTCAGCATGGCTCTGGACACATGAGCCTCAATCCCTAGCTCAGTGACCACTGCTGTCTGTGTTGAGAATGCTTTAGTCTCTTTCATTCCTGTTCCACTTCCACTTAATGCAGTGAAATGAATTAATGCATTGTTACAGAGAGAGCAGTACATTAACATCCCATTAGACCACAACTGTACCTTTAGTACAATTGTCTTTGAATTAATCTCTTGCCCTCTTGAGCCTAGCCCACATGGTAAAATACTCACCTTACTTCCTGCTCATACAGTTGCAATGAAGACATCCCTGCCAGGTCCTCTTTTTACTGAACATACACACTGCAGACGTATTCATTCCTATGGGTGAGCCATACTCCGAAGCGCTGCTGGAAGCCCTAGGAATAAATGGGTCCACAGTATACATTCACAGTAAGAAGATGATCTGGTGGGGTCATTGTTGTTGCAAAGACAGTGTGATGCCGGGCATGGCCACACAGTGAGCACCACTGGAACAGGGGGGAAGATAAGTATTTTAAACGGCAGGCTGCACTCAGTTGGGTTGGGATTGATTAAATAAAAGCTTTACTTTAGGTACTGTTGTCCTAACTGCTGAAACCTTGTTTATAATTGTTGTATGTTTTATCAGCAGTGGACATTAACAAGAAGGGCAAGGGGATGCTCAGTGCTTTGCTTAAGTATTTCATTTTCGTAGGCTTTTCCATTTTTTGCAGTGCTGTAACAAGAAATTAGAATGGTTTTCATTGGTATTGTATTTCATTAATCTGCAAAAAAATTGTCCATAATGCTGAAGTAGAAATCCTCTGGTGTGCCCAAATGAACAATTGAATGAATCCATCAGTTCATGGAATATTCTGCGTATTGAGCACAATGGGGGTTTTACCACCCAAAAGATCTGACATTGTGTGCAGCCAGTCTTGTGGTCCAGGACAGCACAGCCAGAACCTGACGAGTTCATCGCTCTGCTCCCTTTGTTCTCATCTCCTGTCAATGCATTAACTAATTCTGGCCTAGTTCTCTTAAACTGACCCTGATACTCACCATCTCCTAGAAACTGTAGCAGTGCGAGATCAATGGGACGCTTCCAGCGTGAGTTCTTCTGCAGAGCAATACCATAGCCTGTTGTAGCAAAGACTTTCCCACTTCCAATAGTCACCAATTTGCAGCCTTCATCTTTTCCTGCCATGTAATTCAGCACTGCTGCATCATAGATAAAGGCATCCAGCTTTCTACCATAAGATAAAAGTAGAGAAGCAAAAAGGAACATATGACTGCTTTGAACATGTTAGTAAGAAAGGTTCTGTACATGTAGATTGCAAAAACCATAATTTATACGAAATGTAACAGCCAAGAGTCTGCTTTGCTTCCTGTAAAAAAAAAAGCCTGCCATTAGAATGTAATATGCATAATAATCTATGTCTCTCATTCAGTAACTAAAGCTGTGCGTTAAACACTTATCATGCAGGGAAGCTATGTGCACCTGGTATTCCCAGGCGGTCTCCCATCCAAGTACTAACCAGACATGACCCTGCTTAGCATCCAAAATCAGACAAGATCAGGCGCTTTCAGAGTGATATTGACATAGGTGTTTGTCTTTCACTGCCACCAACCACTTCAACTTGGGGTTGCCCAGGTGGACAGAAGACGCTAGGAACCAAATAAAAACAAATGCCTACAGCACCTGGCATTCACAGGTGGTTCTCAACCTGTGTAACCTCAGGACCCACATTTGTCATTAAGTCATGACCCAAGTCGGAACATACGACATTGTGGTACCGCGCGTTCTGGTGCGGGCAATCAAACTGTGAGTAGGAGGTGCGTTTGTGCTGCAAATGAATGGCAATGCAACACACCTCTCACACCAGAATTCACGGTAGGTGCGATTTTGTGTGGTACTGTGCGTTAATCGCACTGGACTGTGCGATTGACGTATGTACTTGTGTGAACAGGACCTCAAAAACACTGACAGACACAATCTCACACACATACCCACTCCAAAAACATTTTTTTTAATTTTTTTAAGATCCACCCATTCTCCCTATCTTATCGAGAACTGGAGTGGATCCTCAGCCTGGGTTCCAGTGGGGGCTGCTGTGCTGTGACGGAGCTCCATCCGTATTGCCATGGTCCCGGGTCCCCCAGATGAGCGGGGGACCTCAAAAATCATGGCGGGTGGTGGTGTACAATGTCCATCAGGGTCCCATGTCAGAAAACTTGCAGCACAGCCCTTGCTAATGCCCCCCCAACTTCTGCACTGACAGGAGACATTATGACAGGGGACACTGATGGGCATTATGTGGGCTTGCAATACATAAAGTCCATCAGCGTACCCTGTCACAATGTCCTCTGTAATTGCAGAAGCTGGGGAGGGGTGCATTAGCAGGGGCTCTGTTGCAAGTAGAAAACTTCCAGTGGAGCTCCTGCCAATGCCAGCCTAGTCTGTTGCAGTAACATTCACATTTTTTTATTTATTACTATTACAAATACTAATCCAGCAAACTATATACATCCCCCTGCCTGCCTGGCTACCTTTCACAGCTTCCAGCCAGATTGAACTACCTATCCTATTTGATTGATATCTGCTGCACTCTCTTCTGCAGGCCGGGACTTTAACTTACTCGTCGGGACCTGCAGCTCCTGGTATCATTCCACTGGCTGAAAGTGAGAAAATTGTCCCCTTCCTACCCAGACACTATTACTTCAGCGGGGAGACGGGGGGGAGGCGGTGGTTGCAGAGAGGACAATTTCACAATACAGAGTTCCCTCAGGCTGACCCTGAGGGCTGAATCCCTTCTTGGTGACTCCCTACTGAAGATGGGCTGCTCCATGAGTTGAGAACCAGGGCTCTAGACCATAAAAGCACATATATGTATTTTGTATTTGATTCAGTCATAACCATACAAGACTTTCTAATTAGAATTAGGTTGCTCATACAGTACCTCATTACCGTTACAGTTTACACTGGCCTGAGTTTGTGCAGACAGCTTTTAAAGCACAGGGAAAGAAAGGGCAGAGATAAAATGTTTAACATGCAAAGGCACTTTGTTTTTCTAAATATATCAAGCAATACATGTTTTGAATGTACAATTATGGAGGCAATAGAACGAGGGTTCTAAATATCTGTTCACTTTTGTCAGACATATAGTAAATATATTTTGATGGGTTAATAATAGTGTTTTAGGTTTTATTTCTATATAATTTCAGGTCCCGCATGCCTGTGAAATATTTAAAATGATCCTCATTTTTAAAATACATTAAGAAATACAATTCAAATAAAAGTAAAATATTTATGCAGTGACATAATTCTACATTACACTTGCCAGGGTTTTCACTTATGAAGCTGGTCAGGATCTTTGGTAGGTATGAGTCCTATCGTAATACTCACCCAGCCTTTAAGCTGGCAAGAGCGTCTTCTACTGATCGCTGATTGTAGCGCACCATATAACTATGCATATCAGGATAGTTGGTACGGATATTACGTTCCGTGCTGCCATTTGGGACAGTTCCAAATCGAAATGGTGGGTAGTGCTCTTGGGGTTTCTGAAACTGTTAATAAAGCAGAAGGTAAAAGTGAGGAAATATAACATTTAGTAGCAGTAAGTAGTTTAGTCATTGACCATTTGCTGATAAATGGTATTCTAAGAACAATTGACAGCCCTGCTATTGCTTCCAATTTTGTGTACTGGACCCAGAAGACATCTCATACAGTTATGTAATGAAACTAAAGCACTCCTTCCAAATTACTGAGCATCTTCATAAACCCAGAATTAACAGGAGCTAAATCCAAATATTAACTGTCTATATTGCCCCCCAATCAGATTCTAAAATGTATTTTCTAGCTCTGATTCTCCAATACAGAATGAAACTGCATGGGGCAATACAAGTAAATTCCTATATGAAACATGTTGAGAAATTAGGTTAAATGTCCTAGGCTACGATGTACACAGCACCATGTAACAACAAGCGGCATATTTTCCATTAAGCTTATTTACCAACATTGCATAAAACAAGACCCTATGGTAAATGCATTTTTCCTGAGTACCATTCCATGATTAACCTGACTTTTTTTCCACGAGAGCTATAATATATGCAACTGCCAAGCCACTTTTATACCAGTGACTTGGCAGCAGCTCTTTTAACGAGAGATCAATTTAATTGGTTGTTCTTGGATCATAGCCTTCACCTGATTACTTTTTTTCACTTTTAGGTCGAACTATGCCTAGAGATAGTGCCTGTGCTAGGGTTAAAGCTTTAGCCCTCATTCACACAGGAATCAGCCCGCACGTACAGCTCCGTGCTGCATGCAGGGCCGTACCAAGCAGCTCGCGGGAAGGACAAGTGCTGCGTGTGATTAATACGCAGCCCCCGTCATTCTCTATGGGACTATGCAGCCGTACGCCACCCTACGCTCACCTCAAGTGCATGTCCGTAGGGGTGCGTGTTTCCTCGCTCGGACGTAGACAGGATCCACAATAATTTGGTTCACAATTTAGGCCTCGTTCACACCATATGCGATGCGTTTTTTGCCGGGCTTGAGGGGGCGTGGCGAGCCATTGAAGTGAACGGCACCGTAGCCATGCCCTCCTGCTGCAATGCGATCGCCCGCACAGGATAGCAAGGCACATTGTGCCTGCAGTGCGCTTTGCTGCGATCAAAATGCTACAAGCAATGATGGCAAAACATGTTGAGGATCCTAGAAAAGATGAATGGACATTAAAACTAGGTGGACAGTGGTGTATATCATGGAAATAACCCATTTGTTGCATATATGGATCTATGGATAAATTGTACAATCTTTTTAAGGCAGTTATGTATAACAAATTTTTAGCTGTGAATCCAATAAAATATGTTTTAATTGTAACAATTTGGGATTGAAGATTGAGTGTCTTAAAAACTCCCTTTCCCCAAGGTTTTGTATACCTGGGTGAAGTATACAATTCTATCTATTTTGATCTGACCGGAATTCTGGTCAGATCAATTCTATCAATTCTATACAATTCTATCTTCCTGATCTGACCGGAAGTTCTGGTATCGGAGCATTTGGGCGAGTACGAGTACTCGCCCAAATACTCGGTAGCGGCACCGATACAAGTATCAGTATCGGTGCATCCCTACTATTATTATTAAGAACATTATTAATATTATCCTGTAATAAATGTAATATAGGTGACTGGGGCTCTGATTGCATAACGCAAGAAGAGATGCAGTTATGCCAAAGCAAAATTAAGAGTTGTAGGTTGGCCCTGATTGCATCCATCCTCGTGCACTAAAGTAGTTAAGTCCATAATAATTAGTTATTTATTCTGTATCTTAATATCATTACCTAGAGAGAGCCGGGGGGGATCATTACCGGGAGAGCCGGGGGGATCCAGAGGAGAAGCTGGGCCCCGTGTACGTGGCCGAGCGGCAGAGGATCGGTACATGTCAGTGATATGTACCTGTCCTCTGTGCAGGACAAACACTGGAGCAATCAGCTGATCACTCCAGTGTTTGTAAATAACTGAGGACACATAGCACTATGTGTACCGAGTTATGAATGAACAGGATGTTTACATCACGTCCTGTTCATTCATGAGTTTCTCAATGGGGAGAAGCACTCTGTACAGAGGCTCCTCCCCATTCAGAAACTGCTTGATAGTATTTAATGTGTCAGACGCTGCAGATGGAAAGGTGCAGGGCACCTCTCCCCATGTGCAACGTCGACCACACGAGCACCACGGGAGGACAGGATGCTGGGACCTCTAGGGCGCACTGGAATGTAAGCCGGCCGACTCCCTGCGTTCAGGTGCGGGAGGGGGTGTGGGACTGTATTGAAGTCAATGGCATCACCCACAGTGTGATCGCCCGCACCCGGAACGCAGGCACATTAGTGCCTGCATTCCGGTCCAGTGCGATCTGCAAAAATAGTGCTTGCAGCATTTTTGCGGATCGCACTGGACTGTAACACTGGCACTAATGCAGGCGATCGCACTGTGGGCGAGGGGCCTGCTTGCGGTGCCATTGACTTCAATGCACCGCCACGCCCCCTCCCGCCCCTGAATGCAGGTGTTTTTTCGTTGGTAGATCTCAATGAGCTCGTCATTTGAAAAGTAGATCTCCAGACGAAAAATTGTGGGCGCCCCTGCTATAGACCATCAAGCCTGACATATGTTGGGTGTAAATTATTGGAAAGTTTATGAAGAGTTTAACGCTTACTGAGTGAATATATAGAAGAGAATACCATAATAAAAGTATGGGCTCACAAAATATAGGTTGTGACTAAACAACATCATCAGTTTTCATAAGTTATATAAGTCAGAGTCTGGATGTTGGAAACGCAACTCATAAAATACATCTGAATTTACAAAAGAGTTTAATACTGAATGTCATTACAGAATGGTACAAAAGGTTAGGGTACTTGGGCAAGTGAAACGGAGGCTGTATGTACCAGGGTAAATAACTGGTTATTGGTTAGAAGTCAATGGGCAGTTGTTAATGGAACCTATTAAAATTAGCAATGGTGCATCACAAAGATTGGTATTAAGTACTGTTTATTTCATTGTTTTTATTAATGGCCTGACAGATGGAATAGAGGACAATGTTACCATTTTGGCAATAAAACAAAATTATGGAAAATTATTAAAACTCAGCAGGACAGTGAAAAATTACAGAGCAGTTAGATGGCATACAATAATGTAAGATTTGGGAAACAGAGCTGTGAAAGGACTTAGGAATGCTGGTTAAAAGCAAGATAAGCAAATGCACTCAATGTCAAGTTCCAAAAGCAATTAAGTTCCTAAAATGTGTCAAAATTAAGATAAAACATGTAATGCAAGCATGGTATTACTTCAGTACAAATCCTTTTTGAAGGACATATACTAGGAGATATAACAGTTGAGATAAACACGTACACTGAGAAGAAAGGACAGTAAGGACAGAAAGGACATTATAAGCCATTATAAGCAAACATGACTGCCCATGCCCTCAGAATGATAAACTAGTAATAATTAAAACAACTTTCACTGATTTATCAGTTTCAAAGAAACAAGTCTGATAAAACAGTTATAGATACGTAAGACCTTTTCTGCACAGAGCCAGCCATATTTACATATATGTAAATACATGTATATATACATGTATATATAGAACACATAAAAATGGATCCCCTTTTAGCTACATACTTTGCTACCACATATGTCTTCTATTTTCAGCTCTGTTATGTCCCTCCTCTGCAGTCTGCAGATTGCTGTATGACTGTTCACGATTTGCGGCTGGCAAGATAATAGCAATCTGTACTGGCCTGGCAATTACCAACATATGTTAATGATTGCAAACATAATGAGGAATGTCTGCTTTTTTTTACCCATTCCCAGAGTGTAACAACCTGTCGTTTGTTTACATTCCTTCAATTTCTCCTATTCTCTCCTCTAGCTAGCTTTTTTGCATAATTTATGGCAGTTTTGCTCCCCTTATACTTTACGGTCTGTGTTCACCCTGATTTTGCCTCCATTTCTCAATGCTTTGATACATCCTACTCTCCATTGCACCAATTTTAGAGGCCTATACTAGAACTCCTCAGGGCCATCGCTATAATGAGACAGCCTGAGCCTGAGACTCTTTGAGTCATGACCTTTCTGGCCAGAGCATACCAGATTGCTAAGAGATGGGTGGGAAGATGTGTAAGGGCCCTACATCTCCCCTCCCAGCTCCTGGCAACCAGTAATGTTATTTGTTACCAGGAGCTAAGCAGGACGCTCTGGCCGGTGTCCCGTCCAGCTCTTGGCAACCAGTAACTTCACTGGTTGTGCCAGGACCTCAGTGGGATGTTTGGCCAGAGTGCCATTAGTGCACCACCAGCACCTCATCAAAGATTCCCCCGGCACGTGACCACCAGCACGCCCCAGGAGGCGACTATGCTAGGGACAACCCTGAGACCCATTAGCATGTTAACATGGTTGCATGGTGCAAAATGAGTGAACATCATATCTATATATTTGGGTGATGGGCTTATTATAAGATTTGACTTATAAAACCATATAGCTCAGAACCTAAATGTACTAATCATGAGATATAGATAGACAGTGAGTGAACTGCTATGGGCTCATTCACACCGGGCCCACTGGGCAGCATTGCCCGACACAGTCCCAACACATAGACAAGGCAATTTGCTTCAGTTCACAATGTGCTGCATTGGTGTGGGCTGACGAAAAGGACAAGTTGCATATTTCCAACACACCATAACAGGTTTCAACACACTGCTGCGCATAGCGTTAAATAGAGTGTAAAGTTAAGAAGAACTCAGGGCAATCGAACAATTAACCATTACAGTGGGGCTGTCCTGGCACTGCAAGGGTTAACTGCTCGTTTTGGTCTAAGAGCTAAAATAAAGAAAACACACTTACCTGATCTTCAGTCCCACTTGGCTGCTAGACCGGTTCTCTCAGCCTCTTCTTCCCTGGGAGAAAGGAAGTGAGGTGGGCAGCCACTGCCGCAGGACGGAGGATCAGGTGAGTATATCTTCCTTATTTTAACCCTTCTGGTGTGGGGGGAACCCTACTACAAGGGTTTGTTTTTTTAATTGCTGGAGTTCTTCTTTAAATAAAATGTAAGTTAAATAAAGGAAATAGCAAGCACTATGCTGTGTTTTTAAAAACCTATCTATCACTACCTCTATCTAATCTATTTTTCTTTGTTTTCTACCGATTCTATGTGCCCTGTGGCCTTGTAGTAGAAGAATGTTGCAGTATTATGGCATTTTGATAAGGTGCCATGTTGTTAATTGTTACCATATGAACTCCATCAAGATAGCTTTCTGGCAATCTACTTTCCATTCTTAGTTCAACATTTGTAAGCATTCCGCTAGATGTGCTAATTACATTCATCTTACAAAAAAGTTAAAAGACTTGTTAATGAACTGACGTAAAAATAAAAGGCTTGATGTGAATTAATGAATCCACGTGACGTCATCGAGTAAATCCAAGAAGAAAAACAAATGATAATACACAGGGAAGAAGGGCTATTTTGGGGGCTGTTCATTTTTATCATGTTATTTTTGGCTGGAGTTCTGCTTAAAAAAGGGACTATGGATGGAAAACTAGAGAAGAGAAATTGGGAACAGAGCAAAGTTGATTTCTACAGAGAACATTCAGGGTTTAGCTTAGATCTGTTTTATTGCTATAGGCAATGGCTCTGCTTTTGTTCCCTTTTTCTTTTGTAGAGTCTTTAGAACTAGCCAGGACATCTGACTACAGGCTTATTTTAAAGCCCATTTCTATTTCCAACTTTGTGGAGGTATTTTAAAAAAACATATGCCAGCAATGTACACTGAGTGAACATGAAGCAGGTGAATGCAGTTGCTGTATATGAACACAGAAACTTACATTTTTTGTGCCTCCCTGCTGTGCAAGCAATATGTGTATATTACAACTGAGCTCTCTCGTTCATTAGCATTCATAGTGGCAACACCCCCCAAACAGTGTAATGTGTGTAACAGCAAAGTTGGTGTTTAGTGATCGTGTTCCACAGAACCACAGGGAGGGCAGCTGTTTACAGCCTGCTTTACAATCTGACCCCAGTGTCAGATCGAATATTCTGTGGAGAAAATTTTGAATTTCTATGATTCAGGCCTAATAAAAAGTTAATAAAAAAAATAAAGAAAGCCTGCAATGTGAGTCATGAAAATATACACACATATTCATCATCACTTTGCCTCTTCATTGCCACAATACATGCTCATCACTTACAAAGGTGAAAATGGACTTTAAAGTGGTAGTAAAACTCTGAAATGTAAAATAAACAAAGCACATCCTCATATAGTGTGTTTTACGCACAGATATACAAATATATGTTTTCTACTTTCTAATTTTTCGCTTATCCTGGCATCTTGTGAGACAAAGGCCGGAGTTCATAGCAATCCATCCATGCGATTGCTCACCACTGCAATTATAGTACTGGAGACAACAGACCTGAGCTGAGCAGGGACATTCCAGGAATACAGTACATACTGATGGGAATTTATCAAAACTGGAGCAGACAAAATCTGGAGCAGCTGTGCATGGCAACCAATCCGCTTCTCTCTTTCATTTTCAAATGGTAACTGAAGAAACTGAAGAGAGAAGCTTGATTGGTTGCCATGAGCAACTGCTCCAGATTCTGTCTGCTCCAGTTTTGATAAATTCCACTCACTGTATACATGCAGGGCTGCTAGTGTGGATGACATGTACGCTCATCAGCTAAGCTGTGGCTCTCAGGGGGGGTGACATCACCACCCTGCCTACCCACTCCTAGAAGCTATGCAGGGGAGCTCAATGTGTTGTTCCAAGGGCTGTGGGAGACAAAAAAATGCACATTACATTTACCTTAAAAAACATGAAAAGTTGGGTGTCACCCATAGCAAAATTGGGCTAAATCTTGGTGACCATAATTTGGATAAATCTGGTTAACTACAATTGGGATAAAACTCGTTTAAATAACATTTGTACCGTAATACGTAATAGAATTAAACAATGCTATAAGAAAACTCTCTAGAATCATAAATTCAGTAGAAATAACACAGAATATAAAAATAGATATATTCAATAAAAACAATAAAGTAAAAAGTAAAACAATAAAGTAAAAATACTCAGATGAACAACTGTGCAGTATATAAGAAGAAACACACTAAATTACTGCATAGAGAGAAACATGGGGCTGCAATTGCAGACCTCCTTCTGAAACTGCGAGTTAGCTGGCTGTGATGGTTCCCATTTGATTTCAACACTTTCCTTAAGTGCATGCTTTTCCCGGGTCAATGGCTCACAGTACTGGGCTGTACACATTTAGACCTCACCATGTTCTGGGTACACCTACATTTTAGTGCAATCTCCAACATTTGTTTATTTCATTATTTTTATTACAACTACTGCTCGAATAAGATATTAAGAATTCATGATGTGTCTTTTATATTCACGGCTACTTTTCAATTGTATGGGACCACCAAACAAGAGCAATGTTTGTTCAACCATGAAGAGTCCTCTGACTCCTCTCGCCATCCTCTGCTCCTTCTTCCCCCTACAGCATTCTTGGTAAATATTTGCGACAAGTGTCCATGGGTGGCCCGAAGAGAGTAACAAAATAACCTATCACGGTATGTAAATTCTGAAATCTAGCACCCACCTTCCTTCCTTCCTGCCATAGAAATAGTTTCTTCAACAGTTCACCAACTAACATTCAATCTAGATAGGGAATGCTCTCACCTTTCGGTCACTTAGGCCAGACACCGTGTCTATGTATTGCTCTTGAATCATGAACGCAGCAAGGTTGGCTGTATAACTGGCCAAGAAGATGACAGCGAAGAAGGCCCAGACTAGCACCATAATCTTGCTTGTAGTACCACGAGGATTCTGTATGGGAACCGAATTATTAAACACCAGTGCCCAGAGGAGCCACAAGGATTTGCCCACCGTGAAGCTTGGGCCTCCTAAACCTTAAAAAAAAAAAAAAAAATTATGATAAATTTACAAAAACACCAGAATTTCTAGGCACCCGTATGGAACCTTCATCTCTCGCAATACTTTCCATAAGGTGCCAATAATTTATTTGTTCACATTTATACTTTCACACTCCTAAAAAAAAGATTCCATGTACTGATACATTTTATATAGAAATATAGTCTAAAAATTGCCTTACAATTTGTCATTGTGGTTCTTGATTTTAAAAAAAGGATAACACTACATGCAGTGATTCGCTCTTGGCGTTGCTGCCATCTTCACTATGCATGACTGGCACCTACAGTGAAGATAAGTTAATTCCAGACATAGTTTTGTTCTGAACACAAAAGGCTCTGTGGTTTACTGATCATATTTGGCAACCTTTAAAATCTGAAAAAGTGGTTGATGTAAGAAGGACAAAACAAAGATAAATCATGAAAGAGGCTACTACCCTCCCAGCATGTTTTTTTGGGGGCTATTTATAAAACCCGCAAATAATAATGTGCCAAGCCCTGTACTCCTAACTGTTAACTACTAAGAAACAATTTATACATTTAAAAATTCCCGCGCCAATATGTTAACAAAAAAGCAGCAACACTAAAATAGACTATTCTATTAAAAAAAATTATAAGAATTATTATAAGGAACCGGGGAAGAAGGAACACGATGTTATAAAGTTGTTTTGCAATGTTGTTTAAAGATACATTTATTTATTTGTGGATTTATTTGGGGGTCTGTTTTTATATCACACAATTAACTCCTAAGCAGCTGTGCCATCCAGAAAACAACAAATTAATTCATAACAAATGAATAAAAAAAAAAATTATATATGGTAATAATATATACACAAATACTAATCAAATATACACAAATAAGTTCCCCAACATGTATAAAATACAAATATAATAGTGTGTTCGAGTGCAATAATTAGTCCCATGAAACCAGTCAAAATCAAAGAAAATAATTAAATATCCATCAGATGAAATCCCAGTGTAAAGTTAGATGATGACTTGCAACAAAAGACAGAAGTGTCTTGCACACGTGCAAGGGGTGCACGTGTGGAGTGTGTCACCTCCTCACATGCACTCCTTGGCCAGATCTACTCACCAGATATATATGACACACTGGTAGGCGAGGTCAAAATAGTGCATCCTGTAGTAATGCCATTGGTACTGGCAAATATAGGCTCAGGTACAAAATGTCCCCTTTCATCTCCGTATCACTCTCTTTTGTTTCTCATGAATAGAAATTAAACATATCTCCTGTAGCGTAACTATATTTAAAACATTTGTTCTTTAAAATCATTCCAAGCACAGAGGTGAAGCTAGATTAAGTTTAAATCCGGTAAATTGTTAATGGCTAAGATTTCCAATTTCCTCCATTTTTTTATTTTTTTTGCTATAACCTTTATATTAACCCCAATGGCCCTCATGTCTCCCATTATTTAAAACAGCAATGTGGACAGCAGGATATTTCTCAGGAAGTAATATATTATTATCTTACAGAAGAACTCTGGTATTTTTAAAACTTTCCCTTGCAGCGCAGCTACCCCCGTACAGCAAGGGTTAAATGCTTGTTTTTCTCTATGGGATGGAATAAAGCAGATATACTCACCTGATACTCAGCTCGGGCTGTGGTATGTCTCTGGGCATCCTCGCATCTAATGCAAGTCAAAGAACCTGCATTAAACGTGATGACACCAGCGATCATTAGAACATTGGAGCCCAGGGAAGAGGAGGCTGTGGGGACCAGTCTAGCAGCCCAGTGGGATCGTGGATCAGGTGAGTATATCTTCTTTATTCCATCCCTTTAAGGGTTAATGAGCACTTAACCCTTGCAGTGCAGGGGTAACCCCATTGCATGGGGAAGTTTTTAAAATTCCCAGATTTCTTCCTTGAGATGATATATAATAATGGAAGACAGTAGGGTCATTGGGCCATTGATATAAAACTGGAGGAAAGAGGAAATCTTTGCCATAGCACTCACTCATATACCTTCTGAAATTTAAAAGCCAGGTGGTACCAGCTTCACTTTAGATGTAGTGATTGCATTATAGGGTTGTCACCTGTCCAGGATTCACCCAGACAGTTCAGGTTTTGAATGTTGTGTCCGGGTTTCGTGGAAGCTGAAACCCGGACACAAGATGTGAGGCAGACATGGGCAACCAAAATTAGGATAGGTGCTACTGGTCCCCCACTGAAAATAGTCTTGACTGGGATATTTACATATGAATGGGTGGTGCTATTTACATATGAAGAAGCCGCGGCTCATTCTCCCCCCAAAATTTCCATGCGTCACTAGAGTGTTCGGGTTTCGATGGAAGAAAAGGTGGCAACCCTACTGCATTACTTTTTTTAAGGCTAAGAACATTTTCAACAAGTACAGAAAATACCTGCTGATGTTGCCAGAAATGCTGTGTCCTTGTTACTTGTAACTATAAGATAACTATAAGTGTTATCTTCCTTCTAGAAACTAATCTCCCCAAACAAAGGCAGACATGTTTGAAATCATGTCTGGATGACAATTGCAGATGGCTCCATAGATACAGTAGAGAAGTGAATGTAGACATGAAGGGACATAAAATGCATTTTTCAAAGGATTGCCAGAAGAAAAAAAAGAAAAAAGTCAGAAAAAAAAGAAAACTGGTGCAGCCGTCATACCTGAAGACTGGTAAATATATTACATTTCTGTTTTTGGATTTAGATGTATATTTACATTAATATTCTAGTAGCCAATCTACAAATCTTTATGCATTTTATAAGCAAATATAACAAATATGGAAGACCAAGCTTGTAACCTTATGAAAGTCATATTAAAGACATATCAAAGTCAAAGTGACCCTGCTGGCTTCAGGAAAAAAAAATAACAAAGAAGTCAATATAATATGGAGTGTCAGATGGAGAAGATTCTTCAGGCAGCAGTATGTTTAACAGAACAAAGATCAGCAGTGCCCTGTTCTTACCCTTGCCCCAAGGGTCAGAATAACTATAGTGTAAATATGTGGCTTCCAGGGTCTCTGTGGCCTTGCCTCACATCCTTTGATACCAGTCTCTTCCCCTCACCTATCCTTTCCATAGACCTCCCCAGGAGATCTTCTATTTCCCTCTTTGTTTATGTTGTGTCTCTATGTTAGTCCTAATAGAATCCAACTGCCTTTTAGAATACAGGTTGTGCTCTTAGCTTGTGCCGGACATCCTACAACGAATACAAATATGTTATAATATGTAAGTTGCTCATAAACTACTGACTGCAAGGCACATGTGCTTGTGTCCCCGACGCGCACTTTTTCAGGACATTAGCTGCCCTAGCTGAGGTAACCCTTGTATTGCCGACAATGCCTTGACTATATTTGTTTATCGATTCTGTTTCCCCATCTGTTTGCATGTAACTTTGTAAACCTCAAAATAAAGAATTTATAAAAAAAAAAAAAAAGAATAACTATAGTATATTGCGGAGAGCAGAACAGGTGAGCAATGCCTGTGTTCTTTTGCATGACGTGTTGCTTTTATGCGCGTTTGTCGCATGTTGTGCATAGTGCAGCCCATTCATTTGAAGGGGCTGTCCAACGTGCCACAAATGCTGCAAAGAATCTCTTGCACTTTTTGGAGCTTTGAGCATTTTTAACCTGTGATTTTTTTTTGATTGCTTGTTGTATATCTTTGCATGCAGAAAGTGGACATCTTGCTTGCCTTGTTTTGGGTGCCATTAACAATGTCAAGGATTTTTCCTGTGTTCATGCACGAAAAATGTGTAAATGAGGGCTGATTTCTGTTTAATAAGCTTTATTTTTCACTGTAAAATGTTAAAGTTTAGAGTTTGCACAAGAAGTTTCTTAAAGAGCAACTCTGGGAAATGTTTTTTTAAAATAACTTTTGTAGTGGGGCTTCCTAGTTTTCATCTAGGGAGTAAAATTAAAAAGTTATACTCACCCAAACCTAGGAGCCGGATGGTTGTCACAGCGCTCCATCCGGCCTCTCTCCTTTTACACTGTAGTGAAGGTATGTCCCTTGGTGTCCTCATGTCCTATACACAGTGTATTGGACGTGATGACTCGGGAATCCTTAGACTGCTGCAGTGGAGGGGGAGAGACGCTGGAAAGATCGGTCTAACAACAAGCCGTCTCGGAGGATCCGACAAGTATAACTTTTTTATTTTAGTCCCTAGACAGAAATGAGCAATTAAAGTGACACTAAAGTCAGGAGTTAAATCTTAAAAATACATTCAAGTATCTTAACTATTAACAAAAATTTATTTTATTTGTTTATCACTCAGCTGTAGATCCTCAAATCATCTCTGAATTGGTGCTGGCACTGTCCTTCCTTCTGGAGGGTGGCTACTTTTGTTCCCCATGGTCCCTGTGTGCGTTGTAGTCACGGGTCCAAGCTCGCTCCTGCGATGGACTACAATCTCAATACAAATTAGTAAACTAAATGTGAGATACATTTTTGTTTGTAGTTAAGGTACTTGAATGCATTTTTAAGATTTAACTGATTTAAGAGTTTAATGTCACTTTAACCCTTGCAGTGCGGGGGTAACCCCACTGCAAAGGTTAATCATTTTTCACAGATTTGTTCTTTAACAACAAATTTCAGCACAAGCTGTAAGAATATACTGTATATGCAGATGTATTTTGTTGTTCTAAAGAGTTTAGAGCAGAGACTATTCTTTTTATGCTCATAGAGATCACAGTTTCCACTGCTACAGCCCATATTCCTAAAACAGTTATCTTCTTTTCACAGTTTTCTTGCACCCGTTCTCTCTTTGAACACTAAACTGCTTCTCTGTGAGCCTTTGTGTCCACCACAAGTTATTCTTTTATCTGTATATGCAAAACTTTGAAGGGCATTTCCACTTCTTATTTTACATTTGTTACATGTTGTCATTTTGATAGTACAGCATAAAAGAAAACAAATTGCTGCTGACATTTTATTTGTTCTTTTGTGAAACGTTTTTCTCTGTACTGAATTTTCCTAAAATTCAAGGGGAGTGGGGAGGT